ACAAGATTTTTTTCTAACAATGGATGAGAGATCTGTTTAAGTAGAAAATATTTTTAGGTGTTTTGAGTTGAAAACAAATCCGTTGCAAAAATGGGGGACATGGCGAGACATTTTTAGCTTGCAAGTGCAATCAATTCCTTGTAAAAATAAATCTTTTTGCAACTGTTTTCTTTCCAGATAAATAAAACTAGGCCCAAAAGGCTAAGAAAGTTATATTTTAGAATAAATGTAACCAATTTTACTCATAATTAGTGATGTATTTCTTAGTGTTCGATTGCAAATTTTCTCACACTCTTTATGTAATAATAATTAACTCTGTATGAAGATTTATTTACGAAGTCAAAGTTGAAATATACAAGATTTTTTTCTAACAATGGATGAGAGATCTGTTTAAGTAGAAAATATTTTTAGGTGTTTTGAGTTGAAAACAAATCCGTTGCAAAAATGGGGGACATGGCGAGACATTTTTAGCTTGCAAGTGCAATCAATTCCTTGTAAAAATAAATCTTTTTGCAACTGTTTTCTTTCCAGATAAATAAAACTAGGCCCAAAAGGCTAAGAAAGTAAAGTAACTATTCGAATTTTTTTAACACTCTTTTTTCTGCAGTCAACCCGGGTTGAGATTCACAGACCGAAAATATTAGTTATGCATTTCCAAATACAAAGCTTAAGAAAAAAACTTGTCATACAGTGTTTATGGTAATCCAATTTTGAAAAATTTTTTGTTTTCTTTGGCATAAAAATTGGTGTGTCATTATAATTAATTTTTTTGCGAAAAAGAGCTAATCATACAATTACTTTTAAATAATTAAAACCGTAAGACTAGCATACTTTTGATGGACATTTTGTGTGCATAACATATTTTTGATGGACATTTTGTGTGCATAACATAGTCGTAGGTAAAAAAAGTTGCCTTTTTTGTTTCGGTATTGCTTAAAAAATTGTTCATAATGTTTGGCATGTTTTTGTGTGTCCCGGGGAATGAATTATGCGTTCACAACTTTGAAGTCAAATACTAGAGAAAATTAAATCAATTACGAAGCATTGTGCATGCAAGGCCCTCAATCTTTTAGTTAGTCAAGCTTTGAGAAGCCAGGATCTTTTTTATTACGCGACCAGACTGTGCACTGAATAAAAGCACAACTTGGTGTTTATAGGTAAATGTTATCCAGAGAAAAATCTTCTAATTTGTTTTAACATGTAAGTGGATTTGACTTACACAACTTCTATCTATTCCGCGCACACATACCCTTATCGTTAGTTTTATCAGCACATTAGTTTTGTCACAGATTCCGCAATGACCAAACTTATCTAGATATTCCAGATTCTCCTAACGAAAGAGGATTCCGCAAATTGTGAGCGGAGTCCGCAATTTTCAGCAGATTCGGCCAAACTATAACAAAAATACGATGAATAATTTTTGTACTGTTTCGGATTCTGTAAATTTTGTTGAGAATTCCGCATTTTTGACTGTTTTTGGCGCGATTTGAGCAAAACAACATTTCATATTTTTATTTGTCGAACCCAAAACAGTCAAACAATCAAATAAAACTAACAATGATCCGGATTCTGCAACAAATCTGTTTTCGGCCTGTTGTGGAAACCGCTCTTCCCAAAATACACAGTTTGCCGTCCGTAATGTCGGTTACAAAAACAGCTCAGAAATTTTGATAAGGAAACAAAAAAGAAACACTTTTGGAAAGAAAAACAAAGTTTCTGTAGAAGAATCATAGATCTTTCATGCAATTTTTTTTAATGGAGACGCATGAAAATTGCTGCTTTCCATATATTAAAATTTCAGCGTGGAATATGTGTCAATCAATTTAAAATATCAAAATCACTCATCACAGACTCGGTAGCTTACTAAAAAGTTTTTTCAACTAATTTTTACCAAGTTTAATTTGGATGCTTATTTTTTTTCAGAAATATTTCCAGTTGCTCGGCTAAGCTCTTAGCAACCGTCACTACGCTAAAGCAAAAATATATACCTTTGAAGCACATAAACTTAAATTGGCCTAAATATTTTTTAGCTCTCTCTCAGAAAAATGTGCTTCAAAAATTGACAACACTTTTTTACGTGCATCTCTAAAACACACCAAGTTTTTCTTTACCATTTGCCAAATTTCAGAGCGTAGTTTAAAAAATAACTGTTGAAACAAGAAAATTTCGAACAACTTACCTAAAAATGTCTCCCGAACTCTAGCCTAATATTCATCGGTGTCCCTCTTTGTTTTTTACAGAACAATTTTTTAGTACACTTAGGGGCGGATCTAGGGTTACACAAGGGAGATGCGAAATTTTGAAATTTTTTGAAGCTTTCTGAGTTTTCCCAAAGGACTAAAAAACCCTGTTCTGGCCAAATTTAATGCGCCGCAGTCAAAACTTTGATTAAACAGACCAAACAAGGCATTTGGAAAATTTTTGCTGAAAAATTCCGTTTTTTTTTTGCGCGCGGTTCCCCGTAAGACTAGTAAATAATGGCAGAGTGTTCAAATTTTAGGGCCCTTCAGCCCCAACTGAATATCTGAAATTAGTACAAAATGGGGATACTTTGGTTTGGCAGGTGGTCAAGTCCCTGAGAGGGCGGCGTGTCCCCCCCTTAAATCCGCTGGTGAGAACACTATGATTTTTAATCCAGAGTAAAAATATATTGACTATTTTCAGATATTTGATGATTGTTTCTTCAAATAAAATGTTTTTGTTCTGGTACACAACTGATTTGCTATGCTTTGATAAAAAAAAAGTTGCGCACTGAAAACTTTTTTTTTGGAAAGATGTTGTTATCTGTTTCTTCTTGATCAAAAACAATCTTCATAATAGTTTTTATTCTTTCTCTTGTGATCTTCAGTTAATCATTCTAAATATACGAAAATGGAAGTATAACAATTGTTTCTGTTTTTAGAATCAATGAAAACAAATTTTTCAATCTTACTCATGGAAAATATCAAAATTAAAATCCGCTTCTAACTCCATTTGATGAGGTCAAAAAATGGCTATGCTTTTTGAATCATGTCCAAAACAGTTAATCAGCTTGAGCAGAACGCAAATTTTTTCATTTCACAAGTAGAACTAACTTTTGAAACGTTCAGGGGTGAGAAATGGATAATCGCATATCCGATATATCGAAATATCTGTCGACAAGCTTTTAAGTATCGCGATAATCTATTTAGCATTTGGAAACAACTTTTTTCCCTTGAGTAAAAATGGACCACTATGCTAACTTTATTCATGAAGCGAAAGACAAAAAAGATACGTTTCTTGTCTTTATTTTCTTCGCTCGATAGCCCCTCAACCATTGCGCCTTGTGTCAGTTCAAACATGGCATTAATTTTTCTGTCACTCATTTAAAATTTAGGGTACTAATAATCGCGGTTATCGGATAATCTATCGGGAGGGCTCAATGTATCGCGATAATCTATCGGAACCAAAATATCTATCGTCGATACGATACTTCACACCCCTGAACCAATTAAAGTGCGGTCTTTTCGAAAATAGGTTGTTCTCGAGCAAAGAACACTTCTTTTATTTGAATTGAGACAATAATTGCTCCAAAATTTTTGTTATTTGACGATAAGTTCTTATTTGAATAATGCAAACGTTGGGGAATTTTTCAAGAAACTTATAACTTCATTTTCTCAGCTAATAAAATCTTGGTCATATTGGCCAAAAGTTACTTGAATTATTTAGGGTTTTGCCGAGGTACGAGCGGTCTTTTTAGGTTAACATTAACTGTTCTGTAGAACTGTGGACGAGAACTGCTCAATCAATTTATTCGCAAATGAAAAAATATATTTGAAATTACGCTCAAAAACCTTTCCGATTTTTGACCAATCAAAACTTGCAATCAAACTATATATTCTAGCTGCTTAAAAATTAATATTTTGTCACTCAGAAACAATAAATTGCTCAGGTAAAGTGAGGCAAAAAAAATTAAAAGTGTTTTCTCTGTGACATGACTTGAAAAATTTCCTTTGTCTTGAAAACTGAAAACTCTTCCGATTGTTAGTTTTGTAGCAAAAATTGTTCATTTTTTTTTTTAAATTTAGGGTTTTTGCGAGCTTATTGGTACGAACAATCACAAATGGCGAGCTTCCCTTCAAAAATATTTGGCAATTCTTTCACGAAGATAGTCCATCTACTCAAGAAAAACTGCATGATATTTTTGAAACATTTTTTGAAAACGACCTAATTTCTATATACCTACTTGCAAACTGTTTGGAACCTCGTTTCTGTTCTTCAGCTTCTAGCTTATAAAAAAGAAATATAACGAGTTCCTTTACAAAATATTTAAAGTTACCAATCATGATCTTTCAACTAAAGCCCTTCTTCCATATGTAAACTTCTAGCCTGACCACTTCCCGACTGACTGGAATAAAGTTGATCTCAAAATAATCTCGCAAAACAGTGTTTCTACAGATCTCTAGAGGCAAAGGACATTAGGAGTAGGGCTAGGTGTTAATAGTCAACAAAGGATTACTACAAACCTATCCGGCCAAAAACAAGTAACGTGAACAGAAACTATTCTGTGAGTTGAGCACCCTGCTTACAAACCTACACCCAAGAACTCTTTTTATTTGTATTCCCCCGTTTAGTTTAAAAAGTTACCCTACCTCAATGAAGAATTTTTTTATTGCATATATACGGAAACAGCAGTCTTCAAAGCGAATTTTATTTCATCCTAAAGTTTTCTATGAATATAATTTTTTTTCTAAGATAAAGAACAAAAAATACAGAGATAAAAATCGCCACGAACAATCTAGGCCGCTTGTTTTTGGTTGTTAAAAGTTGAAACATGCGATTGCGTCCTCTAAAACTTCTCATTTTAATTCTCTATATTTTTTATTTTTGGAAACTTGCGAATTTTGAAAATTACTTCACGGAATATAAAAATAAAGCCTAACACGTTTCCGGGGAAAATAAAAAAGCACATCGACCAATAAGAATTCCTTTTTAATCTCAAAAAATTGCACTGTAGATTTTGCTGTTGATAATAAAGGCAAGTCACTTAAGCAAAGTAAATAAATAACTCAGAAAGGTTTACAATAAAGAACTTTCGGGCTGCTTTTGGTTATAAACAGAAAATTCTCTGTTAATCAACAATTCTCTACAACCAGTCAAGACATATGAAGCACGAAGTTCGATCAGATAGGTGATTTCTTCTCGGGCAAATTAAGAATGAACTTTTCCTGTTCGATTTATGTGTTTCCTTTAGGGCGAGACTTTACTGGCTGACCCAGACGGCAGCCACCAGGTATTTTGAGAACCACTTGAGATTTATGGGGTGAACTTTTTATTGGTTTCTGTATCTTGATATTTTGAGAAAGCCTTCCTTCGTTTTCAAATAATCCTATTCACTATTTTATAGTTTTACCAACTATATTCTAAAGAGATCGGACTTAACACTCCGATATTGTTTTACTCATATTATTCTTGCTTTGGTTGTTTTCGTGCATTTACCCGCAATAAACTTGTTTGGCACTATATACAGCGATTGGGCTTCGCTTGTACCAACTCTTAGAGCTCTAACAGTTTGAAAAGTTAAACAGTGTGAGTTACCTGTAAACTTAGCAGATAGGTTGCTTACTTATATCCCGATAAGAAACAATCCAATTTACCTGGCCGACAACTTTTTTCTTTAAAAAAATCTGTTTCAAGATTGAAATGAATTAAAACACCTGATTATAGTTAATTTTAACAAACAACTCAAGACGGGTCTGCAATTAATTATATGGACTTCTGCGAGTTTCCTTCAGACTAGTTCTTTGTCATCAGGGAGGCCAATATTGCGTATCCTACATCATAAAGCAATCCAATATGTCCCCAATAAATTCATAAATTTCTCTTGTCGACGTTTGCACTCAACCACCCGGAAATTAACAGTCTGTATCGTAAACAACTCACTTGTTATTGTTGATGACTTTGCCGCAACGCAGGAAATTGAAAATCCCAATTATATATACCATGTTCACAAAATCTGACTGCATCACATTTTATCTTCCAAACCCCCTATTTATTAAAACTTTTGATTGGGTAATTTAAAGAAAATTTAATCAAAAATTGCACCAAGAAACGCAAGATCAATTTTGTTACATATCTGTTAAAATTTAAACTGGATTTCACCTTCGCTTTTGAAAACTGGACTCACTTTAAGCTATTAAACATTTGTTGATAAAAAAGTGTTATATAGTTTTCAGTTTTGATATTGGTTCTATTCAGGATGGATTCTAAAAGTGGCCGCGTTGTTACTTTTCTTCTCATTGCTATATTTATCTCGACCTCGCTCAATTTTGCGATTTTATTTTACCAAACTTTTACTTTGGAACAAAGCGACAACAACCAGATCATCAAACGGCAGGTATTTTTTCTTTCTGATTAAACATATCGGAGTTTATCAACTGGCTTATCAAAAATTAATAGCTACAACAATACCCGGTTGCGCGCAGTACGGCTGCGCCAGATAGATTTCGCAGTCCGGCCGAGGTTTTTTCAGTCGCGCAAAGTCACACACTGAACCGCTACGGCCGCGCCGCAACTTAAATGTAGTTACAAATGAAAACAAGAATAGCCGGTTACTGTGCAAAAAGCCCAGAATGTTCCGACCATAGTCTCTAAAAAACAAGCGCAAAAAAAAACAATTTTTTTTTTCAAATTAATGTCGTTATTTCTGGGTGGTGTGATAAAAAGATCTGAACAAAAAATTAGGCACGTTCGAAAGGCACAGTATAAAAGGCAAATCGGAAAACAATTTTCTGACAAAAAATGACAAGAACAAAAAAAAACAACAGTGTCGTGAAGTTCAAAAAAATTTTTTACGGTTTTTTTTTACAGATTTTTTTAATTTTGGAAATTTTGATTCCAAAGAACTCCAGCAACTAATTTTACTCCAGTAAAACTATAAATAAGCATAAATAACTAAGCCGAAGTTAACGGCTTAAATTAAGTATGAACAAGCCTGCTTATATGCTTGCTCGCTATACTCGCTGCAAATTAGAAAAAATTCATACCGGTTTTTCTCAACACATGAAAACTTTTTAAAATTCGAATCACGACTGAAAGAATTTATTTATGATACATCACTCATCCCAATGATTATTTGTGAAACCTGATTTGTGGTTAAAAAAACCCACCCAGATATAAATTTCCTCTCCGTTTTCAATGGCCGGAATAAAATAAATAATCATATTAATGATAAACATAAAAATCATTTTAATCATGAAAATAATCATGTAAAAATAAAAAATGAAAAACAATCATAACAATGATTATAATAATCATGAAAACAATAAAAAAAAAATCAAACGATCATAATTACCATAATCATAATAGCCATAATTATTATAATGATAATCATAATCAACATTATAAAAAAATCATAATAAAATGTTTGCTACATAGATTCTGTTCAGTGTAATACTCAGTACATTTACAACCAAATGAAATCTCAATCGCCGTGGAATAAAGCAGCCCGATTTAGCTGCGTCTGATCCTGTAATGACTTACGTTGTTTTTACTATCAAATAGTTAACAATGAACTGATTTTTGAAAAAAAAAAATTTGGTGCAAAAGTTCTTGCGGTAAGAAAATATAATTTTGCAATGTTTCTGCAAATATGATGTGTAAGTTCAATGTTTTTATTGCAAGTTTAACAAGAGAATCAACACAACCTTGGATCTGAATTTTTCAGAATTGTAAAGTATGGTTCGGTGCAAAGCACTTGGATTTGTGCAATGCGTGTTCGTTTAATCTGGTCAAATTTTACCACGAACTCAACGAAAAACACAAATTTTATATTTTTATTATAATAAGCAGCATTTTATTGTATTTTTAATATAATTTATTATTACATTTTTATTATAATTTAGTAGCGACTTATTTGTTTTATACCGCACAAAGTCAGTTTGAGTTTTATCGGACGCGCAATGTTGCGACTTATCTATTTTGGCTCGTCAAGGTTGCGACTTTCCCATTTTGAGTTGCGACGGTTGCAACCTATTCATTTTGAGTCGGGTGTTGCGACTGAAAAGGTTTAGTTCAGATTTGGTAACCCATTACCAATTTATTGCAGTTAAAATGATGGTATTTAGGACTTCGAAACTGCAATAATTCATTGCAAACTTCTATGATTGTTTTTGTTATTTATTGTATCTCAAACAAATTGATTGTAGGAGATTATTTTTTCACTACCCCTGGCATAAGCCAAACTTTTAAACAGATTTAGTGAGAAGATGCTGATTCCTTTATAATGGAAGTTTACGGCGAATCCGAAAAGGTATTTAAGAAAATTAGCAATGCAAATTTAAGGCAAGCACTCACCAAGCCTAAAAAAAAAACATTTTGCTTTGAAATATGCAAAAGTATAATTCTGCAGAATACGTTCTCGCGTTGAGTTCTCAATAAAAATCAGTGATGAAAAATTGCAAATCTACCGTAGTTTGAATAACATTTCCATGGATGATTCCGTGTTATTTCATAGATCAATGAATTAGCGATTATATATCTATCATTGAACATGATTTAATAACAGCAATAACTTTTGGATGATTTAGTGCCGAAAAATGAACAAGATTGCTTGTATCAGGGTCATGTTTTGAAAGTTCCGACTGCCTTTTAAAGTTTATGGAACAGTAATAACAAAAAAATTAAATGTAATAAAATAAAATGAAAAAAAAAACATTTCTAAAACTTGAAATTTTTTGTTCAAATCATCTGCCCACACGCCATATAAAGTACAAAAGGATAGATTTCGCTCTTTTTAACAAATCAATTATGGCAAATCAGCTTCCTTCAAACAATTTGGAACGATTTCTAAGACGGATTAAATCTCCGCTTACGCGTTAATAGCTCGAAATATATCGCGCGTTAATTGTCCGATACTGTTCAAAATGGCAATCTTTCAACCCCCATAACTTTCCCAAAAAAAAAAACGATCACAGGTGAAATATTTTATCAAATTGAAGCTCAAAACAGTAATACTTTTTGAATGATATACGAAATTCCGTCGAAACTGGCTTGCTAAAAAGTCGAAAATTGTCTGAAGAAAAAAAAACCCACCCGAGCGCAAAGTCGGAACAATATAACTTAGCGCTAAGCTAGAAAAGAAAAGTAGTTAATTCATCGATGAAATTCATCACTTTTTCACCATTAATTTGCCGTTACTAATTCGATCAAAATCAGTGCTAATTGAATAATTTATAGAACATAATAAAATGTCATTTCTTTTTCGTTTTTTTTTTGTGTAACGAAAGTAACGGAATATTTGTGCTCGGGTTGGGTTTTTCTTCTTCAGACAAATTTCGACTTTTTAACTACCATTTTTGACGGATTTTCTTCGTATCATTGGAAAGGTATTGTTTTCCTGAGCTTAAATTTGAAAAGATGTTTCACCTGTTATCATTTTTCGCAAAGTTATGGGTGTTTACAGATCACCATTTTGGCCAATTTGAGACAATTAACGCGCGATATACTTCGCGCTATTAAAGGGTAAGCGGAGATTTAATCCGTCTCAGAAATCGTTTCAAATTTTTTAAAGGAAGCTGATTTGCCATAATTGATTTGTTAAAAAGAGCGAAATCTATCCTTTTGTACTTTATATGACGTGTGGGGTGATGATATCTACAAAACAAATCTCAATCTTAAAAATTTTTTCGTTTCTTTTTTTTCTATTACATTTAATTTTTGTAATGTTATTACTGCTCCATAGATCTTAAATGGCAGTCCCAACATTCGGGGCTTCGCTCTGATACGAACAGTCTTGTTTTTCCGACTTTCGATACGAAAGTAACGGAATATTTGGGCTCGGGGTGGGTTTTTTCAGACAAATTTCGACTTTTTGACACGCGTTAACAGCTCGAAATATATCGCGCGTTAATTGTCCGATACTGTTCAAAATGGCAATCTTTCAACCCCCATAATTTTACCAAAAAAATGATCAGAGGTGAAATATTTTATCAAATTGAAGCTCAAAACAGCAATACTTTTTGGATGATATAAAAAATTCCGTCGAAACTGGCTAGTTAAAAAGTCGAAATTTGTCTTAAGAAATAAAAACCCACCCCGAGCACAAAGTCGGAACAATATAACTTAGTGCTAAGCTAAAAAAGGAAAGTAGTTAATTCATCGACGAAATTCATTGCTTTTTCACCATTATTTTGCCGTTATAATTCGATCGAAATCAGTGTTAATTGAATAATTTATAGAACGTAATAAAATGTCTTTTTTTTTTTTGTGTAACGAAAGTAACGCAATATTTGTGCTCGGGATGGGTTTTTTTTCTTCAGACAAATTTCGACTTTTTAACTACCATTTTTGACGGATTTTTTCTTCGTATCATTGGAAAGGTATTGTTTTCCTGAGCTTAAATTTGAAAAGATGTTTCACCTGTTATCATTTTTCGCAAAGTTATGAGGGTTTAAAGATCACCATTTTGGCCAATTTGAGACAATTAACGCGCGATATACTTCGCGCTATTAAAGCGTAAGCGGAGATTTAATCCGTCTCAGAAATCGTTTCAAATTTTTTAAAGGAAGCTGATTTGCCATAATTGATTTGTTAAAAAGAGCGAAATCTATCCTTTTGTACTTTATATGACGTGTGGGGGGATGATTTCTACAAAAAAAAATATTACTTTTAAAAATTTTTTCTTTTCATTTTTTTTCTATTACATTTAATTTTTGTAAGGTTATTACTGCTCCATAGACCTTAAATGGCAGTCCCAACATTCGGGGCTTCGCTCTGATACGAGCAGTCTTGTTTTTCCGACTTTCGATACAAAAGTAACGGAGTATTTGGGCTCGGGGTGGGTTTTTTCAGACAAATTTCGACTTTTTAACTGCTATTTTGACGGAATTTTTAAAAAAAATTTTTGAAAAGTATTGTTGCTCTGAGCTTAAATTTGAAAAAATATTTTATCTGTGATCTTTTTTCGTAAAATTATGGGGGTTTAAAGGTTACCGTTTTGGTCATTTTGGGAAAATTAACGCGCGAGATATAGTGATTTGCCATAATTGGTTTGTTAAAAAGAGCGAAATCTAGCCTTTTGTACTTTATATGGCGGGTGGGGAGATGATTTTCACAAAAAAATTCAAATTAAAAAAAAAATTCATTTTATTTTATTATATTTAATTAATTTATGTTATTACTGCTCCATAAACCTTAAAAGGCAGTCGGTTTATGGAGCAGTACTAATACGAGCAGTCTTGTTATGATTAAATTTTGTTTTTCATTTTTTCGGAGCGATTTTGGATTTTTGAATTTAAATTGGAGCTGGTGCAGGGAATAAACGAGGAGGGATAACTTTTCCACCCGTTCACATTTCACTCTCCACATAACGGGGGCATTCTATTTACCACCTCAAGT